CTGAGTGAGGAAAACTTCTCGGTTGGAGACTTGGAAAATCCAAGTCACTGAGTGGGATCGGCTATATGAATCTTAGAGCGCCATTGTGCTCGGTCCTGTGTCATGTCCTTCGTTAGATCCAAGTACTCTAAGTCTTTTCTTAGAGTCTCTTCCAAAGTTTTCCTAGGTCTTCCTCTACCCCTTCGGCCCTGAACCTCTGTCCCATAGTCGCATCTTCTAATCGGAGCGTCAGTAGGCCTTCTTTGCACATGTCCAAACCATCGTAACCGATTTTCTCTCATCTTTCCTTCAATTTCGGCTACTCCTACTTTACCCCGGATATCCTCATTCCTAATCTTATCCTTTCTCGTGTGCCCACACATCCAACGAAGCATCCTCATCTCCGCTACACCCATTTTGTGTACGTGTTGATGCTTCACCGCCCAACATTCTGTGCCATACAACATCGCCGGCCTTATTGCCGTCCTATAAAATTTTCCCTTGAGCTTCAGTGGCATACGACGGTCACACAACACGCCGGATGCACTCTTCCACTTCATCCATCCAGCTTGTATTCTATGGTTGAGATCTCCATCTAATTCTCCGTTCTTTTGCAAGATAGATCCTAGGTAACGAAAACGGTCGCTCTTTGGTATTTCTTGATCTCCGATCCTCACCCCTAACTCGTTTTGGCCTCCATTTGCACTGAACTTGCACTCCATATATTCTGTCTTTGATCGGCTTAGACGAAGACCTTTAGATTCCAACACTTCTCTCGAAAGGTTAGAAAAAAAAAAACCTTCTAGAGGAGCATTTTCTGTACGTGTTGATGCTTCACCGCCCAACATTCTGTGCCATACAACATCGCCGGCCTTATTGCCGTCCTATAAAATTTTCCCTTGAGCTTCAGTGGCATACGGCGGTCACACAACACGCCGGATGCACTCTTCCACTTCATCCATCCAGCTTGTATTCTATGGTTGAGATCTCCATCTAATTCTCCGTTCTTTTGCAAGATAGATCCTAGGTAACGAAAACGGTCGCTCTTTGGTATTTCTTGATCTCCGATCCTCACCCCTAACTCGTTTTGGCCTCCATTTGCACTGAACTTGCACTCCATATATTCTGTCTTTGATCGGCTTAGGCGAAGACCTTTAGATTCCAACACTTCTCTCGAAAGGTTAGAAAAAAAAAAACCTTCTAGAGGAGCATTTTCTGGAATTGCAGGTTGTACGCCTTCTATAGCAAGCCAGTGACAAACAATTCCAGTATCAAGCGGTGCTTTTGGTAAAGGAGCTTCAATCACCTACAGTCAAACATAAATGTGAAAGATTAAAAGGAAACATACAAAATCAAGTAGAAAGTGAAATCAGATTACTCAGTAACACATACATCTTTAAAATCCACATCCTTTTCGTCAATGTAATACAAATCCCTGTGCCCAATAGCTCTTTTGAACCGCAAAGGACCTCCGGAAACATAACCATAGATTGGCTGGTGCAATCAAAGGAAGCAAAATGAGATTTCAAAGAATGAACAAAATCGTGCTAAAGAAACATATTCAAAACCTCACCTCTACATTTCTTATGTTGAGTGCACCATCAACGTCGTCAGCTGTCAATCTAGTTCTCCTCGAGTGACGCATGCATTTAATCGCCTCCTGTACTTCCATCACAATGAAATCATACTCAACCCTCCAATGTCTCAAATCCCAATTCACCAAAAAAGCATAACTACATTATCTTTTTCACCGACGAATCAAAACAAAACCACCCCAACTTCCAACTATTCAGTCCCAATCTTACCACATAAACAAGTAAACCCAATTCCCAAATCTTACATATTTTACTAGTTCAACCTTCAACGATCGAAAACGACAACGTCAAAACAAACCCACATTAGAATTAAGCCGGAAAAGTTGAAAATTTACCTGCATGATCTCACGGAGGCGGTATTCGACATCGGGGGCGAGAGCAAGAGCAGCATCTGGAGACAAGTTGTTGATTCCTATGCTCTGTGCAATTACTTCAACATTCTCTTTGGGCACAATGCTCATTATTCTCGACTGCTTCCTACTGAACTCAGTCTCACAGCAGTGTTTCTGAAACAAGCAAGCACGGTAAGCAATTTCCCATCATAAACTTCAACTTGTTTAGTAAAAAGTAAAAACGTAAACATTTTGTGAATCTTGGTGTGTAAGATCTTATGGAATGAATAAAAACGGATTTTCTTTCCTACCCTTTAAATTTTCTGGGTAGCCAAGCAGAACCCTAATACGCACGAATGAAAGCGTCAGCTTGAGCAACAGTGGTTGCAGGCTTCGGTCGTTCACTCGGGAAGGAAGAAGAAGATTCAGTCTGAAAAATAATAATAATAATAATAAGTAAAGGAAGGAGGATTTCGGATAAATACCCGGGTCGGGTTAGAAAGTCAAATATTCGAGTCGGGCCTCAAACTGCTGGTCAAAGAGCTAAACACCACCTTAAGGCCGGTTACTTCTCTAGAAAACGTTTATACAGTCGTGCTTATTTTCACTTTTGTTAAAAGTACTTTTATTAAAATTAAAATTACATTTGTATCGTAAAGTTAGTGCGATTTCTTAAGTTCAATTATAATTAAAGGCGAATTTTAACCATATTAATGCTAGTTCATTGTGAGATTATGCTCACTCTCCTTGTAGGATAAATAATAACGTTTGTTCAAAAAAAATATATGATTTTAAATAAAAAATACTTGAAAGTGATTGCTTACGCTTTTCTTAAACCTAATCCAAAAGCGGTCTCAAACATGTCCAAATAATTGGTTGTGTAGTGGAGCCATAACACCTCTAAAGAGAAATGCAGAATGCTTTCAAATTGGCATTTACATGTTTTGTTAGTTGGAAAACTCTCCAATGAAATAAATATATATCTTCATCGAAATTGTAAATATACATCTTTTTCTATGCTTTAGAAGATGGGCGCAATGAGTTACAGAAAGAAAAATGTAAATATACATCTACATTCACGTTTCATGTCTCCGAGATGCAAATAAGATGTAAATGTGATTTTTATTTCTCAAATTTGCATGTCTTCACTATAGATGCTCTAATCAAGGAGAGTAACAGACTTCTCAAATTGATTCACCATCGCAGTTAAAATTACATCAAACGCATCATAAACTACTTATGTCGGTAGAATACCCCAACTATCGAACTATGGTTCAAGTCTTGATGATTCTAGTGACCTTATAGATCACATATCGGTTTTACGAAAAATACTTCCTTATTTTATTGTCTGTATTCTTCATCCGTCCCTCTTTATTTATCTCCTCATGTATTGATTTTGGTATAAAGTTGTAACATGCAAATGGTTTTTTTTTTTATGAAAATGGGAAGACAGACACCTAAATAAAAGAGTAAATTGCAGCAATAGTTCCTCAACTTTAATCAAATTGAAGCAATGATCTCTCAACTAAAAATCCATTACCATTGGTCCCTCAATTCATCAAAATGTGTAATTATGGTCATTTTCGTCAACTCCGTCAAAATTCAGTCAAAATGAGTTATGTTAGAATAATCATTGCTACAATTGAGTTAACGTTGAGGGACCATTTCTCCAATTGAGTTAAAGTTGAGGAACCATTGCTTCAATTGAGTTAAAGTTGAACGACCATTTCTTCAGTTGAATTAAAGTTAAGGGACAATTGATACAATTTTTCTTATTTGATTTTCCATATTTGCCCTTTGATTTAGCCTCACGTGCATGACATGTAACTCATTTTGACAGAAGTTTTAACGGAGTTAAAAAAATGATCATAGTGGCACGTTTTGATGAGTTGAATGACCAAGGGTAATAAATTTTTAATTGAAGAATTATTGCTATAATTTACTCGGAAAAACTTGATGGTAAAGATTTAAAGGTCAAAAACTGTCCCATCCTAGTCCTAATATCATAAGCATCTCTATCTAAATTACTTAAAAATCCCAAACATTAATCTCCCCAAAAAAAAAAGGAAAGGGAAAAAGCCAATGGTCATTTTCCACTTTCAGCACAGCAACACCCCAAGCAATTAAATTGCTACAGATTGGTGTTGCATTTCACCTTTTCTAAACACATCTTATCTATCCAGCAAATTATAGTACGACCACATTCTTGGATGTTGGCCTCTCAACCAGCGCCTAAAGTTGTCGGCATGATTTTCATTTGGATTAAAATAAAGACCACCTAAGTTACAGTGAGCCACCAAAGTCACGTGAATAATACATATTAATCTTAAGGTATATTTTAAAGTTACGTAACGAGCGAAATAGTATAGTGGAGTTGAACTCACTTACATTTAAATTTTCATTTATTAGAAGACATAATAAATCATGTGAGGAGTGAGATAGAGTAATCCAAAATCATGTAACGAGTGAGATAAGGTGATAGACTCTAGGCGTACTCAAGTTTCTCTTCACTAGGGAATAGAAGAAACCACGTGATGAGTGAGAGAAGGTGATGTGTTAAAGGCAGGTGATTCTTACATTAGATGTCACCTGAAATAAAATGATAAAACTCTGGCCATATACTCAAGTTTCTCTTAATTAGAGAACATAAGAAGTCACATAATGAGTGAGATAAATTAATATGTTAAAGACAATGTGATTTTAACATTAGATGTCACCTAAGTATAGTTTAAAGTCACATGTTGTGTGTGATAGATGAACGTAGATAATTACACCCAATTTTTTTCTTCACAAAAAGAGCAGAAGAGTAACCAGAAAGTAATACATAGCCCTAATAGCAAGTAAGCTTTATATGAGGCCAATGTGCTGAACCCATGTGCAAAAAGTGGATGAAAAAGCAAAGCCACCATGCCCCCCTCATCATCTAATCTTCCACTTTTCATCTTCTATTATTTTTCTGATTAAATTACAGATCCATCCAGCTCTAAAGCCTTCTCTACTCTGCAGATCTTCTAATTTAATCCCATTTAACAAGTAATTTTCTCCTAATTAAATGTACTAGTTTCTAAGAGACGTATTAGAACTCTAAAAAAGTCAATCATGCATTCCTTGTCCGTAAAAAAAATGAGGAAGAGAATGTTGGAATGACTTTTTCGGAGTGCTAATAACAATCCCGGTTTATTTCTTCTCTTTATAAACAATTCTTCACTGAATCTTACCATAGTTAGTAGTATAATTGAGTGAGAATCTCAGTGCACTAATCAACTATTTCCTGAAGCATATATTATGTAGGAGAACTCAGCTACTCTGGATGGTCTCGTTGTAATTGGCAACACTCTTTTGAGCATCTTCTTTGAGCTTCCCAGTTGAGATGGGCATCAATGGAGGTTTGGTCAGGAGTGTTTTCTCGAGACACCGATCTTTCGGGACGTACGAGAGCAACGTGAGTTGCCGCCGTACATGCTGCAACCCTCTCCTGCTAACTGTGCTAAGTATTAATGTGATCTGTGTTTTTGTTTGATGGCATCAGGTGAGGAGCAATGTGACAGAGAGGAAAAGATGGAGCTCTGTTAGATGGTACCTATGTGGGGATGAATATAATTCCGTCACGGCGGAGAATGATTCGGCATCAGTCAAGAGCTCCGTGGCTACTGCCACCACGCAGTTTAATTCAGTTTTAGCCGTTGCAGACGAGGATTCTAGTTCGGTTAGGAGCTCCGAGGCAACTGTCACGCAGCCGATGCCAGAAGATGTGGTAGTGGCAAAGGCTGAGTCTTCGGTCTCCAAAACAATGTCTGAAGAGCATGCAGCAACCATCATCCAGTCAGCATTTAGACGCTTTCGGGTAATTCGACACTATCAGATTATTTCAATTTGCTCATCTTGCAGAAAAATAAGTTTTTAATTCAAAAGAAATTACAAGTATTCAAAGATCTTTGGTAGGATTTACGTTACAATTTTCTTTTGAAAGGACGACATCGGCTCTAGTCAATGTGCCTACACCCGCGATCTGCAGGTTTATGTTACAATTTAAGCTAGAGAGAAAACCGAAGTTATCTTAAAATTGTACCGAAAATGCTAAATCGTTCCTCATTTATTTCTTTGTGAAAATTTGCGTTACTGCACTGGAAGTTCTTGCTAATAGTCATTAGAATGCTTGGATATCAGACTAGGTGTCGAAATGGGGGAACTAAATCAAAGGATGGTGAGCAGGAAAGTCCAAGTAGGGGATCTCTGGGCACGTCGGTTGAAGTTCAAACAGGAAATTCTGTGGAAGTTTACTCGATTCAAGGAGAAAATTCGGCTGCTCACCACCGGGCACAACAGAAAGCTCGAGCTCAGGCGCTAAAACTGAAGGTATACCGCAAACAACTCTTCCATTCAATTCTTACAAGTTACAACTGTGTAATGCTAAAACCACATTCGTTAAAATTTACAGGAAGATTGGGATGACAGCACTGTGAGTAGTAACATATCAAAAATGAGAATGCAGAACAGAATGGAAGCAACAACAAGGCGTCAGAGAGCACTCGCTTACGCCTTTTCACAACAGGTACATCTGAAATTCATTCTATCGTGGAACCGATGATTCAACCTCTCTCTATCTCTATCTCACGCGACGCAAATGATAAGAGAAATCACGCGACTGAGAGATAGAGAGAGAGTGATAAATAACCGACTACACTCAAGATTTTACCCTGAAAGAGGTCCTAAGACTTCTAGTATGGTTTGGAAACTATTTAACTTGGTATTATTTGTTTAAAGCTAAGGATCTGCTCAAAGAAAAGGCACACCACATCTGATGGCACAGAACAGAGCATGGGTTGGAGCTGGCTAGAACGGTGGATGGCAACCCGCCCTACTGAAATCTCCTCCGCGGAAAGTCATATAAGCGACCAGGTTGAACCAATTCACAGCAGCAACCAAAGATTTGTCATGGGAAAGAGACTGTTCGACGGGGCAGGTGAAGAAAAAGAGAGCTGCGGATCTAATGAAGTCGGTGTCCTATATGATAACTTTCCGGTAACACCATTAGAGAGAGATGGCTTCACTCCAACTAAAAACAGGTTCAAGACTACAAGAAGCCTATCGAGGCAAAAATCAATGCCAAGCTATGAGTGGGGGAAGGAGTATCCCAAGGTAAGGACATGTCCATTATTTGAGCTATGATCCGAACTGAGTTTGTCAAAAGAGGATCGACATTTGAAGAACAAAATTACCAAGTTCCAGCGTTTGATTCAATGACTGGCTTCGACATTGATACAGGTAAGCAAGAAGGATTGTTCAAAGGAAGCCGATAAAGATGAAGAGCGCAACAGAAAGCGAACAGAGAGAAGCAAGTGCAGAAACTCTTCGTTCTAAGGAACATAATTCGCAACTAGAATCTCTGTTAAGTAAATAAGATTCTTGTTACTATTTACCATGCACTTTGTACGAGGATTCTAATGGACTTGACCTTTAATATAATCTGATGCTTGATACCTGAGAGTTAAAACCATTCAACTCACAGAACCTCGTCTTCTCCGAGGGACCAACGAAAGTAAAAATACTCGACGAATTAGGTAAAACATCGTCAACAACAAGAAGGCCGTAAAAAAGGGAAGAACCCGCGTGACGAAACCAGTTATTCGACAAAGAAACAGATGTTACATGAAACATAACCAACTCCCCATCTGGAAATACAGAACCATACAAAACCAACTGCCAATCGAAGTTTAGCTTATGCTATTGACAAGTAACTGCCAATCATTAACGGTAAAACATAATATGGAAGTAAAGTTTTGATCTGAAAACCTAAATCTTATCGATATCTTCATCCTCAAACTCAATATAGTCATCAACACCGCCTTCGGTTTCTTCATCATCAATACCCCCAGCAATACCCTCGTTGAGACGTGTATTCTCTGGAAGCTCTCCATATGCCTTGAGGAGCCTAGCCTCATCAGGCATGTACTTGAGGATCACATCAGCTTTGTCGTCCTGACTCCTGATAGTCACGAAGACCGACAAGAATGATATCGCCAGCTGCAATCCAAACCTTCTTGTGCATCTTACCACGGATGTGACAAAGTCGCTTGGTCCCATCTATACACATGGCTTCACACCGACCGTTGCCAAGCATTCGGAGCACTTGGGCATACTCCTGTCCATCTTCCTTAAACACAAGCTCACGCTTTTCGTCATCAGCCTCGTTCTTACCTCTCTTCCTGTTCTTTCCTCCCTTACCCTTGTTCTTCGGCTTGCTTACGAGTTCTGTTTCTGCAACCAAAGTAGAATCAGATACTCAAACTCGAAAATCAACTGCTTCTATAAGTTTCATAGATTATTTACAAACTTGATGGTTTACAACATACTCAAACTTCACGAAACCAAAGTTTCATCGGACAAAAACGTGCCATAAAGCAAACAATTTTCGGTTCCACCGCCCAGTTTTCAGGAGATAAAAAACAAAACAAATTTTGGAAAGCAACAAAGACTAGGGGTGGAATTTTTTCCCGAAAATCCCGAACCGTCCCGATCCCGTCCCGAAATTAGACCGAAAATTTCCCGAACCGAATTTCCCGAAACATTTGGTACCCGAAACCGATCCCGACCCGAAAGTTTCGGTTTGGGATTCGGCCATAGCTTTGATAGCTTTCGGGAATCCCGAACCGAACCGAATATTATATATATATATTTATATTTTTTTTAATTTTTAATTAGAAATTACTTGAACCGTTGGATTTGTTAAAATCTAATCCAACCGTCCATAGTTAGGTCATTTGTTTGTTAGGTTATTAGACTCTCTCAGTCTCAGTCGCTCTCGCTCTCTCACCTCACTGGCTCACTCACTCTCACAGTCACTCTCACAGTCCCCTTGCTCTACTCTTCCGTCGAATCCACGCCGTTCCTCATCGTCCGTCACTCCATTGACTCACGCCGCTCCACTCCTTCGTCAAATCCATGCCGATCCTCATCGTCCATTGACTCACGCCGCTTCTCCATCGACTTACACTTACACACTCGAATCCGACACCAATCGAGTCCCAAAATCCAGGTTAGGGTTTCTAATTTTTGATTAACTTGATTTCTGAGTGAGTATTTTGTCGAATGTGTGAGGGTTTCGAATTAGGGAACTTTTCATGTGTATTTGATCATTCTTCCTTCAACAGAGGACCCCAAATCAGTAGGAAACCCCATTTTATGCGTTTCTGTAGGAGATGATTCAGGTAGCAGGCTAACTAAGATTAGTTGTTAGTAGGCCCATAAGCTTTCCCAGTTGCATGCAACGCTTCATCTCTGTGCCTCGAGAGATTTCTTCACTGATTAGCACAACAAATCTCACTGAGAGAGAGAGAGAGTGGGAGTGTGTAAAAGAGAGAGAGAATGAGAGAGAATCAATTTTGAGCAGTCCTAATCATCTTCTTGTTTTTCTTCGTCTTCAGAATCTGTGATGCACTATACAGACCATCATCGCCAGTTCTTCAGCTAACTCCTTCCAACTTCAAGTCCAAGGTAAATGTTGAAACTTTACCAATAATTGGGCGTACCCTTTTCAGATTCTTTAGTTTTTTGCATTAAATCTATTGGAATTTGTCACCGTTTGGATTGAAAAGCACTTGGGCTTCAATTACAAACACTTTTTACTCATTCATGTGGATGTTAAGTTTTAATTTGTTTTTGCTTTCTCCGGTCCATTTTTCATTTGGCATGCCCTGCTATTTAGATACCCTGCCATTTTTCATTTTTCAATCCAGCAAATATTTTTATTTTTGCATGCCCTACTATTTGGTTAGTGTGATACTTAATTTTGGCAATTTGATTTTGTATTCAGGTCAAATTTTAAAGCAGCTATCAGAGATAACTAGCAGGGAGGTTCTAACTTCTAAGTTTAAACAAGAGCTCAATAACAAACAGGTCAGATTGTGCAGCCTGTGCTTGTGCAGCCTGTGCTTGTGCCTGTGCTTGTGCTTATAGAATGGTATTAATGTATAACTAGTTTAAAGCACAGTTGTTACTTTGATTTCTTAACTATCTGTGCATGCCTGTGCTTGTGCATGTGCCTGTGCTTGTTAATTGAAACAGGTGGGCTGTGCATGCACTTTTAATTAAATAGTTTGGTAGACAAATACAAATTACAATTGTGAACTTAAGCTGAACTTGTTAGTTGCTTCCTTTGTATGAAAATTGAAACATTTGATATTGTGATATTCATATTGTGGTGAAATTGAAACAGGTGGGCTGGGCAGTGGCTGTGTAACCTTAATTTTTTTTTTTTGGGCAGTGACTGGCTGCAATCTTAAAAGCCCAACATTTTGGGCTTCAAGGCCCAATCCCGAAGTATCCCGAAAATCTCGAAACACTTTCGGGAATCCCGAATTTCGGGAAATGCACATATTCGGTTCGGTTTCGGGATATAAAATCCCATCCCGAAATGTTTTGGTTTGGGATTCGGGAAAGGAGTTTCGGTTCGGGATCCCGACCCGAACCACCCCTAACAAAGACTATCTTCCCAATCTTTTTTTTTATTTAAAAAAAAAGGAGATTCGCCACGACAGCAGGGGGGCCAGAAGACTTGCGGCCACCATCGTTAGGCCTGGAAAACAGATCGTGTTTGTCATGTTCGTGTCATTTTCGTGTAACACTTGTTATTTTAACAGGTCATGTCGTGTCACACCTGTTATCTTAAAGGGTCCTCAACGGGTAAAGTGACCCGACCCGTTATGACCCGTTAAGAAAAATATATATTTTTTCTTAAATTTGCACATACCACATATTGCTACATAAATATTACTTCAAAACATTAAAATACATTTGTCGTTTAAGTCCTACATCTACACTCGAAAATAAGAGTCTAAAAAAATATTAGTCTATTACAAAATATTATATATGCAAGGTTGTCCATAATTTTGCCATTGAAATTGGATATCTCGCACAATTTCTTCCTCAGTGCCATAATTTCTTTTTGGTGCCAAAATTTTTACACAAAATAGACAAAATGCACTATAATTTTCATCTCATCATCATAAAACGAAATCCACCGTCACCCAATTCCATAGACAACCCAACTTGCGAAAAATGACCATAACCTTCAAATACAAGTGTAAAAAGGAAAACCATATCCCTCAAATTTGATAGTAATTCGTATATACTGGAATATGCGAACAATTCGATTTCCAATAAACAGAATAATCATAAATTGATCGAATCTGGAATTGGAAGAATGCTCAATCTATGTCCGGTTGTTGAGAAAAAAAAAACAATCAGAAAATCCTCCAGGTTTCGTAGAAACGGTGATTCTTAGCAGCCAAACACAAACAAAAATTCAAAACAAATTTAAAAAAAAAAAAAAATTAGATGGAATGGTTGAAAGATAAGATCGGAGACAGAGTAGTAAGAAGCATACCAGCGCAAAGCCAATGAAGGACCCTCTTCAACCAACACTAATCTTTCTTAACGAAACTGAGACTCCATGGTTACTGTTCGTTTGCAGCTCCAGTGAGTCGCAAGGAAGAAAATCTTGAAATTCCTTTTCGGCGATACGATGTCGTTTCTCTTAGTGTTTGGTAACTTTAATTTATTTATGGAAAAATTATTCACTTTTACATATAGGATGGAAATAAAATTACTTGACCCGAATCTTAGCTTTGGAATCGAATCGAGAGCCCTAGCTAGCACGCACAAAAGGTCAGGTGGGCCGAAGTTGGGCCGGGCCGAAATAAAATTACTTTGACCCAAAGTTTAGAGGTTTGGGCTTATTGGAAGAGAGAGAGAGGGTGCCTGACAAAGAAAAAGAGGGCTTAGAATATATTACTGCTCGGCAAGTGATGCAATTATTTCGGGACATATTACTTGCTCAGCAAGTAATGCAATTACATATAGGATGGAACGTCTACATTTCACAGGTACCCTTACCTGGCATTCACAAATCCGGCTGGATTTCTATCATGTCTACCAAAAACCCTAACACAGATGACCAAAACGCCGACTACGTGGAAACAATGGGGCGGCCGCGGCATCACGTACCCGAAGGTGTTATCCACGGAATCCTCCGACTCCTCCCCACTATCCCTGCGGCTCGCATGAGCTTTCTTTCCAAGCAGTGGGAAGGCCTCAGGTCTTTAGGCTGTGTATTAGATTTCGTGGAGGACAACCTTGATGGCGAACTTGATGATCGACCAAGAAACTTCATCAACACTTGCGACAGGTATTTAGACCAGTTCCGTGAGTGCGACAAGATTTCCATACACAAATTCAGGCTTCACATGAGGTACTCTTCCGAAGACGCTAACATGGTCGATGAGTGGTTGAATTTTGCAGTTGAGAGAGGGGTGAAAGAGTTGGATATCAACCTTCCATCCGGAGGTAAACGGGACAAGAAATATTGCTTTCACTTGCAGACCATTGCTAATGCTGCAAAAACTCTAACTAGCTTTAATGTGGAGAATGTCGAGTGTGATCCATATTTTTCTTTTAGAAAAACAATACCATCTACTACCTTTCTGTACTTGAAAAGTTTGTCCCTTAAAAGTGTGAAGTTGTGGTGCTTCAACATGTTCTTCGAACGTAAATTCAAGTGCCCTTCCATCGAGTATTTGTCATTAACGTCATTAACGTCAGGTGGTTATAACTATTTTTGTTTCTCAAGCTCCAGTCTTAAATCCTTGGAAATTATGCTCTGCCCTGATTTGTGGAAGATCGGAGTACTTGATGCTGTAAATCTTGAATCTTTTAAATTTGTTTCAAGTTCGGAATTGGTTGAAGGATACAGCTTGAAACATGTCTTGATCAGTGGAGCTAAGCATCTGAGAAACTTTGAATTATATGGATGCAAAGATAATGTGAAGGCGACAATCATTACTCGGAATATGTCTTTATCTATGAGCGGTTTCTGAAGTCTAGCTCTTTGGATCCAGAGTTATGGGAGGCTAGAATCACACTTCCAGATACTGAACTACCGGCCTTTGACTGCTCATCTAAACACTTTTCTTCTCTGCGAGATTATCTTGAATGTTTTGATTGCTTCAAAGAAATTACACTGGAAGTTGACGATGCTAAGGTATATAATAATATACATATACATATACATATGCGTGTGTGTGTGTGTGTTTATATATGCAGGCTTGATTGGTTTTGATTCCTTTCCAGTTTGTGTCTTTGATATATATATATATATAGTGTATATTCCATGTTTTGCGTTTAATCCTTACTGACAATTTCCATCTTCAAATTTTTGTTTGTGTGAATGTCGTAGGCTCTTATCTTTCCAGAAAACTTCAGACAGACCCGCTCTCCACCGTTGCTGAATCTCAACATTCTTGAGGTCACGTCCAAGGTATCTCCACAAACAAGGGGGGACATATCTGCCTTGAGGAACTCCTTGGTTTGGATGGCACCTTCTGCAAAGATACTACTACCAGTACACCGCTGGAACAGAACAAGTAGATATCAATATTAGTTCTCTCTGAAAAAAACTCAATAGAGTTATGTGCGCTTTCTTCTCGATATTTCACAAATGCGGGAGCTAGCAGTTGCTGAAGACTAGTCTCAGTTCATAACTTCAATATGCGCAGACAGTTTCACCTGTTATTTGTTGGCAAAACAATGGTTTTTGTATTCCGTTTCTTAATGTTGTGCGACTTGAGGACGAATTTATGTATTGTATTTTTATTAGTATAAGCTTATCTTTCCTTCTTTCACAGATAGTCTGCTGTTACACATACTTTATCGAGATTTGTTAGTTTCTAACACCCTTCCGTGGCCCTCGAAACTTTACTCGAGATTTTGGCATAACGCTGTGAATTTGTGCAACAATATGCCAAGTTTTCTGCATGTTTCATTTTCCAGTCTCAAATTCTTTGGAGATTGCACTTTTGCACTAGCGGAGTTTATTAGAGTTAAACGCTGTGAATCTTGAATCTTTTACGTTAGTTTGAAGTCCGATCAGAGCTAAGCACTTCGGGCATCTTAAAAGCCCTCTGCAGCACCCTAGTTGGGCGGTCCTCGCTAGCACAAGCATGTTGGAATTCATGTGATTTCATCCCATTTGAATTCCAGTGAGTTCATCAAAACTCTGACAGCAAGCTAACTTGTAAATGAGCTATAACTCATTAGAACTTGTAAGGGTTTGTATCCGGACAAACATAATACATAATGGAGGGAAAAATGATATGACCACATATGTTTGAATTAAGCCATAAGGTAGTTGGTTTGCAATTCCAAAACTAATGGTCACTGCCATGGTAATGGGACCAGGCAGTTACCAAAATTAATGGTGTGGATTGGTCCCTCTTCTCGGTATATAACCTTTGTGTTCATTAAGAAAGGATAAGCCCCATTGTGAATCCTGTGTAGGAACTTGTAAACAAACAAACACCAAGACCAAAACATGAACCACAAACAAAAGGAAACCAACCCAGTTATGTGCCCATAAATAACCAGAAAGGAAAACATACCTGCAGCTGCACCAGAACTCGTAGCCATTGCAGCAAACTTTCAGTGATCCTTCTCTTCTCTTGCAGATTGTCAAGAGCTCGACTCACAGATAGGTTATGGTCCAATATGAGCGTTAGTTCTGTGAGAAGAGAGGTCACTATATATATACATATAGACTTCACCAAAATAGATCAGGATTTCCTATCAAAATCCTCATCGGAAACAAACACTTGTTTCCTGATGCTAACCAAAATCCTTTTCAATCAAGGATCAACATTCCTTTCATCAATAGGACTTTCTATCCAAATTGAATACCTATAACTGGTCCTAAAACTTCTCTATCTCATACTCATATTCTTACATTCTCCCACTTGAGTATGAGAACAGTTTCAAGTACTCAGTTTATCCAATCATACTTAGATAGAAGTGATCACTAACAGATAATCATCTCAAATTATTATAAAGGTGATCACATAATTAAGTCATTCACCAACACACAAGTACATAGACACAACCAGCTTACATAAACCAAAACAATGAATTTATAATTGCGTCTGCAACACAAAATACAGATTTAACTTACAAATCACAATGTCCAGTTCATGTTCATAGCAATGTATCTAAGCTCAAAAGTAAACCAAGAAGTCTACTCCCACTCATATAGCCACCAAATCTTTTGGATAACAAAAGCTTAACCTCACATACAACTTACCCATGCATTTTAAAGTATTGAACTTAAGAATTTTTTCTGTTACATCGCAGAATTAACTCAAAAGTCACAACATACTTAATTTGCACTTTGTAATTATGTGAACCAATATAGCAAAAACCAAACCAATTTGCTCCCACTTATCTAGGCTATACTTAACACAAACAAGTTAAGTATAAGTTAATATCAACTATATTAACTAACAGTCATTGCAATACACTGAATGTCTTATCAATGTGATCAATTGCCGCAACCAATATGCAAACAAATTCCATGATCACATTCATCCAATTTGTATTTACAACAATGTGATTTTTACTTGACCAGAACAAACACATAAATTGATTTGCTCCCACTATATCAAGTTAAGTTTAGTTCCAGCAAATAGCACTAAACTTCTCATTACTTAAACAAATTAAGTAACATAAATAATTACCAATTGCTTCAATAAAACCATAATCTGGTTTTCAAGCATCCAAATGAATTATAATGGCCGGCCTAAATAACCTTATGCTTACATTCGAACATATGATTCTCCCACTTAAGCATAAGCAGAATGATCTGCACAGCCAATAAAGAAACCGGAGATATCAACCAATTGATTCCCGATTCCTTACCAATTGCATAATCTCAGTTTAGTCAAATACACCTAAACCATTATGCAAGCAGTCTATGTATCAAAAGATAGTCACAATCCATTCGGAAAAACTTATCTCACATAAACCCAAAATCACCAGTTTCAACAATAATCAAAATCAGAATAGCAAGCACAATATTCTTGCATTCAATTTGATCCTAACTAGTTCAATACCCATCGAGCAAGATCAACTAAATTTTGATAATGTCTGGATATAAAGGCACAAGTCATCTTGATTAAAACAAGATAATCAAGATGATCATCCAATAAAATTTAGTGTACTTATAGATTTAATACATAATATCAAATCTCTTACACTTACAATATATCAAGTGAGATGAGTTTCAGAATACATTCTTGCCAACAAGGTTTCACTAAACAATTTATATCATTTCATACAGGTACTAACACAAGAGCCTTCACATGTTTTTGGTTATACAGTGCAGATATTGGCATTAACGAACCCAAAAATTCTGAACTACATCATTCACATATATGGCAACACCCCCAAAACCTATTATATATAGTGTAACCAAAATTGGGATATGAATTACACTCATAATTTTAAAACGTCATTATGGATACTCGTATAATCCAATTTTGCTTTTCTAGAATAATTCAAACCAATCAGGCCCACATAAAAGCCACAGGTATTTGGTAGCAACAATAAGTCAAATTCTATTATCATAATTCATAATGGAAAATCATGATGCAAGCTTCCAAGTTTCAAGCAAGTTAATGAGAAATCTTACATCTGCTTGAGACAACAAAATAGCAACAAAACAATATGAAAGTTCTAGGATGGGTACTAATTTAATCTAGTAATATAAATAAACTTCAACTTAACACTAATTCAATTTATGGTTTAAATTAATCAGATGTGCAAATTTAATCCTACACAAATATTCAGCAAAAATATAAAGAGTACGCACATGATGTAGGATTTAACGAGGCAAAACTCACCACTGGGAAAATCCTCGGGCTACCAAGCCAGGAAGCACTAAGAAAGAAAGAATACATAAAGACTTACAAGAACTCTTCAACTAGACACACATACTAGTTGGCAGCTTTGTCTTCGCGCTTTGCTACTCGATCTTTCTTCAGTCTTCGAGTTGAAGTGGCACACCCTAACGCAGTCGTCAATCACTTTTCCCTCGAACTTTGCAGGATGCTAACTCGATCATGCAGAATGTTTATATGATGAAGTGTTTGGTTGAAAAATCAATCAATTACGAAAATCACAAGGCACATTTTCATAATTGACATTCAATAAAAAACCAAATGAAAATCAGCATGAAAATAATATTTTCTCTTTAAAAACACATGCTATTGAAACCACAAGACAGCAGCAATATCAAAAATATTTTTTTTCCTTATTCCCAAAAACGCCAAGCTGCTGCCTCTCTTTTTATTTGTCAAAGAACGCCCAAATATATGCATGTGTGGCTGCCTTTTAAACAAAACAAAACCCTAACCTCCTGTATACCTCACGGCACCTCACCAATTAAATTGATAAGGATGGCAAACCATTTAGATAACTCCCATGCAATCAGATTATTTTGAAATCATGTTTTAATAATTAATGTAGAAAGGATAAGTCATTCTAAAGAGATAAAACCCACAAAGGGTAAGAGTCCTAACCCAAATACAATAACATGAGATATCAGATGAATGTAGTTGGATGCATGCATGCAAACGTACCTGAATGATTATCGCGTTTTGGTAACATCTTCGCATTGAAAGTGTGAGAAACCTCCCTAGGCTAAAACTATTACAATTGTAAATATGTAACAAGTCTAAGCTATTACAGACTCAGACATTTTGTCAGGGATTGCCAATTTTACCCTAACAATCTCCCCCTTTGGCATTTCCTTGACAAAACCCTCTATCACAGTATTACAGACAACTAATAAACTTAACGATCATGCATAACATTGAAGTCTGTAACCTGCACACACTCAAACAAGAAAACCTGTGACGTACAAAAGATATATGCTGCTGTAAATGAAAGCATTTATCTATAACAGCAAGCAACCAAAAACAACCAGGTTTTCGAAATTCTACTTCTCCCCCTAAATATAGGCTTCCTACTTCTCCCCCTTTTTGTCTAGAAAGGTCAAAGGCCTTAGAGTTAACCATCAGGTGCAGTCAGCGGAAGATAAGTGGAACATAACAAAATGTGATGGAGAAAGATTTCCTTTATGTGAACTAGAACCGCTTCGGAAGAATAAAAGTGGGAACGAAATTGGGAGGGAAAAGAATACAAGTGCAATAGTCGAAAAGAGAAACATGAAAAGGAATGCAACTTTCATATTGTTAAGCTCCCCCTAAACAAATGCTTTAAAAAAAAATATAATGAAATGCGCATGCAAATGATATGATTTTTTTTTTTTATAATGGCACAGAATGTTGGGCGGTGAAGCATCAACACGTACACAAAATGGGTGTAGCGGAGATGAGGATGCTTCGTGGGATGTATGGGCACACGAGAAAGGATAAGATTGGGAATGAGGATATCCAAGGTAAAGTAGGAGTAGCCAAAATTGAAGGAAATATGAGAGAAAATCGGTTCCGGTGGTTTGGACATGTGCAAAGAAGGCCTACTGACGTTCCGGTTCGAAAATGTGACTACGGGACAGAAGTTCAGGGCCGAAGGGGTAGAGGAAGACCTAGGAAAACTTTGGAAGAGACCCTAAGAAAAGACTTGATTACTTGGATCTAACGGAGGACATGACACAAAACCGAGCGCAATGGCGTTCTAGGATTCATATAGCCGACCCCACTTAGTGGGAAAAGGCTTTGTTGTTGTTGTTGTTGTTGTATGAGAAGCATATAATTGTTCCAACAAGAATGAAAGAGTGCAAAAACACATGTAGTTATGAATCCTCATTCACAACCTAACATTGTCCCTAAAACATAACATGTATGAGTGTAGCTGCAAGTATAGCCAAAAGTTGATACTACACAAATGTAATTAAGTCTTACATGACCAACTTAACTTTAACCCTTAAGCTCACAAGATATACGCTCGAATTTTCATTCAAAGTGTTTGGGGGTAAGTGTATACGCTCAAAAGATCATTACATGAATGCTCTACCATAGGCTTGCAGATTGATCTCATCTCCACACATCAAAAATTAACTTATTTGAATCAAGTATGTCTTTGTTAAGGGTGTAATGGGGCTTCAGGTACTCGGTTAAAGAAATGAAGGATATAGGAAACACAAAGTCTAAGAAACTAATAGAGTAGTTGGAAATGAAACCAAGAGAGAAATACAGCAACGAACCAGGTAACTTAGCACTCAATTGAGCGGTTGGATTTGAGACATGAACGACATACAACCGCACATTTCAGATGATTCTTGCTCTTCATTTATGCCAACACACTTGATTTCTTATAATGCTGGCAGCTCACTCGTGATTCATAGTGACTTCTTTTCCTCTTTTCTTCTTTTGCTCTTCATTTGTAGTTGGCATTCGTCACAAAATTTGCATCTTCAACCTTTAAATAACCTTGAACACTCTCCTTTGAAAAACGTACTCTACTAGCTTCTTAGTAGGGTAGGGAATTTTTAATATAAGAGGCTAGGTAAGGAAAATGTAGGTTTAAGAACAAAAGGCTTACATATAGGCTCAAAATGGCTAACTAGGGGAAAACATGTAAGGCACTGGCATATATGGTAATGATGGTAAGTCCTAATGCCTACTATCATCTCCAAAATAGAATAATATATGATACAAAGTTTTGAGAGGTCTCAAAGCAAGTTCTAGAGAAGAAAAACACATAAGATCACACACATGAAAAAAATTAAGAGTGTATGAAAAATGCACACACTATATTTAGGCACAAAAGCTCACATGGGTGCGGGTTTTACTCAAGTTAAACATGTTCAACTCATTAACATTGATATATTATCAACAAGAGGCTATTGTCCACAACAGAGTCAAACATATCATGCTAGGGTCATGTTATCAAGTGAACAAAGCTAGAACTCATATGAAATCATACTTTTCCATTTTTCCTCATACATTATTTTTAATTTTTTTTTTTTTTTTTTAACAAGAAGAAAGACAAAAAATGCAGTATTTATGCTATATGAACATGCAAGCATGCATTAATGAAAACATTTGCAAAGAGAGAGCTTAGTCAATATAAACAACTTGAAAGTGGAGATAAATTGACAAGTACACCACTTTGATTCTCTTTTCTTCTCCAAACTTGTCTTACTTTTGGAACTACCGTACTTGGAACAGATATAATTCTTGCAATCCGATTAATCTCTTTCAAATAAGTCACAAATTGTTCCTTAAGATTTTCTTTTCAAAGTTCCTTGAAACTTTTTCTTGAGAAGAATTTTTCTTTCTAAGCTTATTGCACTTCGGCCGGATGTGACCAGGAATCCCACAAAGATGACATATAGGAATGAACTTCCTAGATTGTTTGGGTTTGTTAAGATTAATTAAAGTCTTGACAGGATTTGACACATGTGCAAAGATTGTAGATGTTTTGGGAGTAAGACCTAAACATTTATCGTCACCTACTTTCAAACTAGGAATATCAGAGGCTTTGACAAATCTGGTGACAGAAGAAGAACTTGCAGTCTTTGTAGACTCGAATCCTAGACCTCCTTTGTCTCCAAAACTTTTTCCATAGCTAAGCATCTTGTCAATTTTCCCCGAACCTATGCTCAACTCATGAACTTTTCTTCTCATCTCAACCACTTCGTCCTCAAGAGCTTTCTTATCAGACGAGAGAGTGTTAATTGTGGTTTGTAGAATGTGAATCTTCTCTAACAGCGACTCTCGCAGTTTCTCTCCATTGTCCAACTGAGATTGATGCTCAACTTCAGCTTCTTTCTTTTCACTTTCAACAAATGCAAGTTTCTTCTTCAAGTTAGAGTTATCCTTTTTTACTTGCACACTGATATCATAGAGATCAGAATATTTTCTCAAGACTTCTTCCAAGTCAGGTTCTTCAACAAATGAATCTTCTGTGTCATATCCATCAACAGTTCCTATAAACGCAATCGTATCCTTCTCAGATTCCGACGTAGATGCATCCCCTGAATCACTATCGCTCCAAGTGACCTTCATTGCCCTATTCTTTTTCTCTTTTCTCTTGATAGTGTTTGCACACTCATAAGCAATGTGTCCATAGCCTTGACACTCATGGCACTGAATCCTATTGTTAGAACTCCTATGTTCACTAGTTCTAGATGATCTAGAGGCTTTTGTCATGTGAGACATCTAGAGAACGAAAGTTTTTTGAGTTCGAACCTGAGTTGGTTCGTTGCTCACGACCCTTGGAATTTTGAGACTTGAGAAACCTTCTAATTTGCATGGTTAATTCAACCAATTCATCTTCGGACAAGTCTTCAATTGAGCCATCACTTTCTTCTTCTTTGACAGCTTTGAGAGCAATGCTTTTCATCTTCTTAGAATCAGGAAGCTCTAACTCGTACGTTTGCAGAGACCCAATCAATTGCTCAAGCTTGTAGGTGTTTAGATCTTTCGATTCCTCAATCGTTGTCCTCTTAGCATGAAACCTCATAGGAAGTGATCTTAAGATCTTTTTCACAATCCTATGCTCAGGAATACTGTCACCAAGATTGTGACAGCCATTGACAATTACGCTAAGCTTAGCATAAAAGTCAGAGAAACTTTCATCATCAGACATTGTGATATTTTCGAATTTTGTGATGAGATGTTGAAGTTTGGATTCTTTAACAGTTGAGTTACCCTCATGAGTAACTTCAAGAATGTCCCAAGCTTCTTTCGCCGTTGTACACTTACTTATGTAATTGAATTGTTCAGGCGAAACGGCTGTGAATAAAGAATTCAAAGCCCTTTGGTTAAAAGTGCTAGAGCTACGCTCATCATTGCTCCATTCTTTCCTAGGCTTAAGCTTAGATATCGACACAGAGGATTCTCCTTTATCTTTAGTTTCTTCAATCGTTGGAGGTTCCCAACCTTCTTCAACAGCAAGCCACACCTTGTCATCTTGCGCCCATAAAAACGATTTCATTTTTGACTTCCACGCAGCATAGTTGTCACCATCAAAATGTGGTGGATGAGAAACTGAACCCATAGCACGATTCATCCTAGACTACCCACGGATCTCACTAGGTATTTTTAGTGACCTGCTCTGGTGCCAATTGAAAGTTCTAGGATGGGTACTAATTTAATCTAGTAATATAAATAAACTTCAACTTAACACTAATTCAATTTATGGTTTAAATTAATCAGATGTGCAAATTTAATCCTACACAAATATTCAGCAAAAATATAAAGAGTACGCACATGATGTAGGATTTAACGAGGCAAAACCCACCACTGGGAAAATCCTCGGGCTACCAAGCCAGGAAGCACTAAGAAAGAAAGAATACATAAAGACTTACAAGAACTCTTCAACTAGACACACATACTAGTTGGCAGCTTTGTCTTCGCGCTTTGCTACTCGATCTTTCTTCAGTCTTCGAGTTGAAGTGGCACAACCCTAATGCAGTCGTCAATCACTTTTCCCTCGAACTTTGCAGGATGCTAACTCGATCATGCAGAATGTTTATATGATGAAGTGTTTGGTTGAAAAATCAATCAATTACGAAAATCACAAGGCACATTTTCATAATTGACATTCAATAAAAAACCAAATGAAAATCAGCATGAAAATAATATTTTCTCTTTAAAAACACATGCTATTGAAACCACAAGACAGCAGCAATATCAAAAATATTTTTTTTCCTTATTCCCAAAAACGCCAAGCTGCTGCCTCTCTTTTTATTTGTCAAAGAACGCCCAAATATATGCATGTGTGGCTGCCTTTTAAAACAAAAAAACCCTAACCTCCTGTATACCTCACGGCACCTCACCAATTAAATTGATAAGGATGGCAAACCATTTAGATAACTCCCATGCAATCAGATTATTTTGAAATCATGTTTTAATAATTAATGTAGAAAGGATAAGTCATTCTAAAGAGATAAAACCCACAAAGGGTAAGAGTCCTAACCCAAATACAATAACATGAGATATCAGATGAATGTAGTTGGATGCATGCATGCAAACGTACTTGAATGATTATCGCGTTTTGGTAACATCTTCGCATTGAAAGTGTGAGAAACCTCCCTAGGCTAAAACTATTACAATTGTAAATATGTAACAAGTCTAAGCTATTACAGACTCAGACATTTTGTCAGGGATTGCCAATTTTACCCTAACACAATATTTTCCACCCAATCTAATTACACAGGCTCTAACTCAAAAATAGAAGAGCAATGTGTACACCAAATATTAGTCTAATGAATCTTTATGCAAAAAGAATGATTCCAGTCATCTCACATAAATCATAAGTTGGCATCAATAGGGACTTCGAGTTTAATTGTGCCTTCACAAAATAAACAAGCATACTCGGAATAGCAAAAGCCCTAATTCATTATGCTCCAACTCATCGCACTATAATCACGCATATAGGAGAACAATTAATTATGCATGAAACAGTGAACTGAGTTACCTGAATGCATCATTGGACTCGTATTCGACAACCCGATTGCAATTCCTTTGCTCCAAATCAACGAAACAAATTATCCATCAATGCTCGAGACCCATCCATACGGATTGCCATGGTTACAGACGCGCCGAACCAAAATCATCGCCAAAGCGACGACCAGAATCCCGTCGACCCAAATTCCCACAAAAAAAGACAAACCATGAACGTTAATATCTCTTAGACAAACAAAAACTTATTAATGTCGTCATAATCAAGATTTCATCTTTCTTTTATCTTACTAATATTTGGTCAGGCATATTTTATGCACATCTTTATTCATATAAAGGATTAAGAAACCACAGCTACCTCAATCTTCAGACATCATAATGAACACAGCGGAAGCAATAATTCTCAAAATTAGAACTATGATGTTTAAGATAAATGTGTTTTGCTAAATCACTTTATTGATCTCCAAAGAAGCAAGCAAGAATAAGTTCACCCTTTCCCACGTGCAGCATAATATAAATTGTTATCATACCAGATTTATACCTGATTCACATAATCTGCAGAAGCAAAGCAGATTCATATACGCTAAAACATACACAGGTATTGAAAGAATTAAAAGCAATCATACCTTTTAATCACTGCAGACTTATAGACAACATATGCAAGAATAGGCATCAACAGACGTCTCATGCATAATGATCATTTTTCATGGTTGTTTAGAAAACACAAAACCATCAGTAGAAAATGCAAATCAAAATTTTTCCGCATATATGGAAAAATTCAGCCTTGATTATCAGCTCTAATCAGAAATATCAATACATACCTCCTGCATATTTCAATTTGGAACAGCGCAACGGAAATAATTATCCAAATTGAAAAAATTAATTTAAGAGTTGAGAGAATCACAAAACCTAGAACATGTTTTGATCGATGAAGTTGCTAATCAAAACCCCAAATTGAGAAAACAACCTCAACCAATAGATTTGCAGAAAAAAAAACCAATGGTAATAGTTTAAATATATTTTGTCATTATCTGGAGATCACATACCACCGATGCATCTAAGATGAAAACATTGAGGTTTGCACCAGCAATTGGCCACATATCAATCCCCAAAAATCCTGACGGTCAATTTTATTTTATTAATTCTCTGCATATTGAAAACGCAATGTCGTTTTTTGTGAAAACTCTTTTCCAGCGAATTCGTTTAAACCAGTTTCGAAACCTGGAAGTCGCAAAAATTTATTTATCTATTTATAAAACACATTCGACTTTTCTCCTTTACAGATTTGAACTCATGTTTGTGTCTTGTGGCCCTGATACCACATGTAGGAACTTGTAAACAAACAAACACCCAAGACCAAAACATGAACCACAAACAAAAGGAAACCAACCCAGTTATGTGCACATAAATAACCAGAAAGGAAAACATACCTGCAGCTGCACCAGAACTCGTAGCCATTGCAGCAAACTTTCAGTGATCCTTCTCTTCTCTTGCAGATTGTCAAGAGCTCGACTCACAGATAGGTTATGGTCCAATATGAGCGTTAGTTCTGTGAGAAGAGAGGTCACTATATATATACATATAGACTTCACCAAAATAGATCAGGATTTCCTATCAAAATCCTCATCGGAAACAAACACTTGTTTCCTGATGCTAACCAAAATCCTTTTCAATCAAGGATCAACATTCCTTTCATCAATAGGACTTTCTATCCAAATTGAATACCTATAACTGGTCCTAAAACTTCTCTATCTCATACTCATATTCTTACATCCTGAACGTACAAGCACTTGTGTACAAGAGAAGAGAAGACGCCATCATAACAGAAAGTATGGCTGCAAAATCAGGTTAGTGCTTCTGGCGCTCAAGCAGTGGAATACCTGAGTTCTGCCGCTCAAGCTGTGGAATAATTATGTTCTGCCGCTCAAGCGGAGGATCCTACAAATGTTAATCTTTTATGCAAGCTAATAGGGTTCATGCAGATTTCTGCATTTAATACAGAAACTTATCAGGATGCATACATGCTATATGTATATATATATTTGATGTTCATGTAGTTTAACAACTTGGTTAATTGGATCCTTTTAGTTAAAGTCTACAAAGCAAACAGATGTAAAAAGCGTTGGAGAGCCTTGTAGAGTCGAGTGCAACCCGATTTGTTATTTCTGGAACTTTTTCTCCAGGGAAGATGTTGGGATCATTCTTTTTTGTCATTGATTTCTCAGTCGAGCTCCGCTCTTCATTGTCGGCAAAGAAATTGTAGGCCCTAAAGTCTTTTTCGAAGTTTAAACATGTTACAAGCAAATAAGAAAAGCATTGCGGAAAACAGAAGCAAACGAGGGTCAGTATACCTTGGGTGATTTATCCTCTAATGCCGTTGTTGAATGCTTTCCTAGCTTAGCTGAGACGTGCTGCAGATACACAACTAAAATAACTCAGTAACTGAATGAGGAGAAGGACAACAAAGCCTAGATAATGTAGAAGTGCAGTAAGCAAACGTCATCGACTAACCAGATAAAAATATCCCTGAGCTCATTTAGTAGTCGGTTTTCAAAAGAACAGAAAGAAAGTACTCGGACCTGTAATGGTTTAGTATCCAGCTGACCTTTGACGCCATCTGCTACTTGGCATAGATACCATAGAAAACAGCGAAGGTTTCCAAAGTGAATGCATAACCAGAAATATAACCTGTTTGCTCTCAATAAGATCGACCTTCCCTTCCTGTTGTGCCAATTAACAAATACAACATCAGTAATCTGATAAATTTACATCATGGCAGAGTAAAACAGAATCATATATAAGAGAGCGAATATCAACTCACCAACCCAGAGACCATTTGAGAAAGGTTTGATTTCACCTCATTAACCTGTATACGAATATGAGCGTCGACTAGTCAGTACTTGTCATCAACATTATCCCCTTACGCTGAATTACCAATAGCTTCCAAAATTCCAAATGGCACTACGATGCCGATGCTACGAGAGGAATTCTATATCAAAAAGTGATGCGCTTGCTAGTTGCTAGTATGGAAGATAAATATATTTTATGATTCAGCCAAGGAAGGGGAAGTGGAAGTGAAAAAAAAAAAAAAAAAGTGTGTCAATAATAAGATCCCCTTATCTCTCGATTAGACAGCATTTTTCTGTCTTATTACGTTAAGTACGTAAATATATTGTTACGTACAACATTTGCAATAAGCTGCGTTATTTCCTTCTGCTCCTCCACCTTAAAATCCAAGTTTTCCAGCTTCTTTGAAAGATGCCTTTTTGTACTCCGCAAAAAGGATAGTCAAGACATTACTGTGCTGCAGAGCTTTCTAAGGATTACCATCTGGAAAAGCCAACCACACGGTGGCCAAAAAAATCTGATTTACAGCCAATGTTTCACGCACATTCTCTAATTGTTTCGACACAGTTGCAACAGCATTTGCCATATTCTACCTTGTTACATACATCACATCAGAAAATGACCTGCCCTGTACAATATCACAATATACCCGTAGATCAGCTGATACAATTCCTTACAAGTGCAGAACTAATAGGATGTGTGTGTGATTCCGACGACAAATTTTCAGAGAGGTACCTTCCACCACAT